TGTATGTGGGATCCGAACCCTCGGGCGGGAGCCCCGCCGTGCTTCCCAAGCGGCGCACTATCCAGTGCGCCACCGGGCCGGCCCCACATCAGCAATTTGAGCTGGAAATTTTTAATATAAAATTTAATACAGAGAATTATTTTATTTATTTATTGGCCACAAAACAAGTCTTAATACATTTTAAAAGACTAAGATCATAGAAAATATGCTCTCTGACCTAATGTAAAGAATTATTAACTAAGTAAAAACTGGTTAACTACTAGACAGGTAAAGGCAGACCCCTGGTGTAACAGAAGTGGCAAACACAGAAAGCCACTGGGGCTGACAGAACAGGGATCCAGGGAAAACTTACAGGAAGGGCCCACAGAACTGACCGAGCTCTGATGAGAAAGCACAGCTGCTGCAGGAGTGCTGGCCATCTGAGAAACCCAGGAAATGCTGCTGCAGGGAATCGCCATGCACTGAGCCACTGCTCGGTGAAGACAATCATTGCTAGAGACTGCTCGCAGCATCAGGCCCACAACCAGACCTCAGGAAACAAACCCAGGAAGGAGCAAGTCTCTTCCCCCTCCTCAATCCTTGCATGTCCCTCCAGAATCCCCCATTGACAGAACCTAACAGAGGCAGCTGGCAAAGGAAGACTGGGTTTTCAGAGCCCACCTCTCACATCACAAATCAGAAGGGTGGACTGGAGTTGTAAAGCAATGAATTAATAACTGGCATGGATATCAATACACAGAATCAATAATAGGTAATATTTATTGAGCACTTATTTTATGCAGGTACTGTTCTACATGCTTTACACAAATTAACTCATTAAATCTTTGTAACAGTTCGATAAAGGACTATATTTAGAAGTCCAGTGAATCTCAAGCAAGATACATGAAAAGCAATCCATTCTTAGACATTTTATTAGTAAAACTACAACACCAAAGACTATAAAGATGTTAAAAACATGCAGAGAAGAAACACAGATTACCTTCACAAGAGACAGTTACACTGAGAGCTGACTTTGCAGGAAACCAGAAGACAGGAGAACAACATTCTCAATGGGCTAAAACAAAGTAACTATCAACTTAGAATTTTATAACCAGAAAAATTCTGTCAACAATTGGGGCAAAAAAAAAAAAAATCATTTGTTGAAATCTTAACCCTCAACAAGATGGTATTAGGGGCCTTTGGAAGGTGATTAGATCATGCAGATGTGGCCCTCGTTTATGGGATTAGTGCCCATAAAAAAAAGGCCCACAGAAGCTCATTCTGCCCTTCTACCATGTGAGGGCACAGAGAGAAGGTGCTGTCTATGAACAAGGAAATAAGCCCTCACCAGACATTGAATATACTGGTCCCTTGCCTTGGACTTTCCAGTCTCCAGAACTGTGGGAAATAAATTTCTGTTGTTTATAAGCCACCCAGTTTATGATATTTTATTTAGCATCCTGAATGGACTAAGACCCTACACATTCATTTCAAGAATACATAAGCCATTAGTAAATTACTGTACACTAGCCCATAAAGTAAGCCTCAACATATTTCAAAGGACCGAAATTATATAGGGTCTGTAAGGTATATTCTTTGGCCGATGCATTTAAGCTAAAAATCCAAAATAAAAAGATAACTAGGACACCCTTATTTGTTTGGAAATTTTTTTAAAAACACCAATAAATAAGCTGTTGGTTAAAGAAGAAATCATGATGGAAGTTACAAAATATTTTGAACTGATTAGTAATAAAAATACTACATATCAAAATTTGTTGGTTGCAAATTTGAAGTGGACTGTATTTCACAAGTGTATATGCCAGTAAAGAAGAGAGACTGAAAGTTAATGATCAGAGGAGGTTAGGAAAAGAACAGAAAAATAGACATGAGTAGAAAGAAGAAAATAATACAGAGAAGAAAAGTAAAGATAATTGAGAGGATCGATAAGACTCAAAAGTTGGTTGTCTGAAAAGACTAATATGATTAATAAATTTCTGGCTGTAATGATCAAGCAAAAAAAGAGAGAAATCTCATATACCCAATGTCAGGAATGAAGAAGGGACTTCACGGCAAATGCTGCAGACATTTA